GTAAATGGTATCAGATCATGACGTTCTCCATGTCGTCTAACCTTTTAAGCCAACGCCGTTCCAATGCAACAACAGAAGAAAAAATTCCGTCAAGGATGTCTAGGGTATTCTTTTCCCTCCACACTCTCTTTCTCTCTGGTTCCTCCTCCACGCCCTCCTCTCACGCCTCCATCTTTGCAGCCCCCTCGTGCACAGCGATGCCCTGCACCGCGTGTGCTTTCTTGGGGTGCGCCCTTACGTCTGCCTCTTCGGCCTCCTCGACGACTTCTGCTTGCCGGTTGAGGAAGCTCAGATAGGTCTGCCAGCCGACGGCAATGACACCCGAAAAGACGCTGCGGTATTCCATCGGGATAAACGAGAAGCTGAAGGCCGTCACGGCGGGCCACAGCTTGCACGAGTTGACGATGCTCACGGGAACAGTACGCCGAATTCGCTCGATGATCTGCTCGAAGTTGTCGCCAGCCAGGAAGGCCTGCATGCCGAAGAAGTACGAGTTGAATATGGGCGTGAAGCACACCTGATTCACGACGACCTTGGTGGCCAGGGATAGCAGGCGCGAGGTGTAGTTGAAGTTTTGGGAGAGGAAGATGAACCTGCCGCCCGTTCTGTTAGCTCGTCGCCGTCGCACATTGGGATTGGTCTTCTCGCAGAAGCACAACTTACCACTTATAGCTAGGGATGGAGGACAATGCGCCGATGATGAGGGACCTCGCGGTGCGCTCCGGGTTGTACTCATTACCGCTCATGTTCTGGGCGGACAAGTCGGCGCAAAAGTATATGACAAGGGAGCTGATGAACTGCGTCGTCAGGGGTCTCTTGCGCTGGGCTCTGGCATACCCCTCGGCGGCACGGGTCAGCGGACCGAGGCGCTGCCATAATGGGATCGTGGCGACGGTGTTGGGCACAGGAATAGGGTCGCTCTCTCTCTTCGGCTTTGGGGGCTCGGTGCCCGAGTTGGAGGAGTTTGCGCGGCGCTGCTGCTGGGTGAAGCGAGTGCGCAGGCCTGGGGCCTGGCGGCGCATGAAGGCTCGAAACATGGTCGCAGGTGGTGCTGCCATGAACTGGTGTATTCGGGGAATCATGATGTTGTCGTCGTGCGTGTTCGTGGTGTTGTTGTTGGGTTGCAGAAGATGTTGTCGAGGGATGACATGGCGGTCATGGGGATGGACATGGCCTTGAATGCTATCCTATCCAGATATGAGCGTGGGTTTGGGCGTGGGCGTGGGCGTGGGCGCGGGCATTGACATGGACATGGCGAAATGACAAACCCGCCTTGGTGCGCCTTGTGCCGCCGCCAACACAGCCGTGGAGAACTGCCAGATCAGATCCAAATTGGGTCCATCATCCCTCATCCCTCACAAAAAAGTCAAGGAACCAGCGGGAAGTTGCGGCACAGGGCCTCTGGCATTGCCGATGCCGCTGGACTCTCCTAGCGACTTGGACGAGCGTCGCAGGGGTCCGGGTTGTTCCCACCAGCCCACGCCTTGGAAGTTGGAATGTAAGCCCGTTCAACAACAAAACAGTGGGGCGCATTGTTTTGTGCCTGTTTCTGTTGGTCCGTATCATTTTCGCAGTGCTCTTGCGTGCTCGGGCCGACCGCGCTAACCTTACCTAAGGTACCTTGTCTTACCTAAGTAGGTACGCACCTTTCCTTAATGAAGACGCCTAACACGCCTGCCAGCTGTCAGTCCAGGTGCCGGCCGCTTGTGCCTGGCTGACAGCTGCCACCCGCTGGACCCCTCCTTTGACTCAAGGAAGCGGACTATTGACTTGGCTCACCTGACCTAGCAACCATCAAGTTGTGTGTGATGCTCTTCGTCGGATGACTACAAGACCTATCAACCCCGTCTCGTGTTCCTCAAATCTGCTACTGAGGACCAAAGGTTTCTTCATGCCCAAGCATACCTACGTGAGGCGGTTACTGAGACCAACACAAGCTGGATGCTCAGCTGCGCCCCCTATGAGGCTAACACTTGCCTTGAAAGTGACTGACAGATAGCCTGCCTGGGTTTGCGGAACCCCAAACCAGCTCCTTTCATCCTCCATCCACCCTTTGCTGAGTGTCTTCGTCTTCTTCTGTGCCTCCCAAGGACAAACGGCGTGCCCTACCTGTCGACGACAACCCACAGAGATTGCAGAGTGAAACCCACGCACGACAGACCTCAACGCCCGGCATGTGGCTCATCAATACCAACACCTTCGAATTGCGCATGTTCAATGGCCCCCAAAACGTCCCTCCATACGCAATCCTATCCCATACCTGGGGCAACGACGAGGTGACGTTCCAAGATATTCAACAGAACCTGCACCTCGCCCGCACACAGGCTGGTTTCTCCAAGATCGAGGGAACATGTTACCAAGCACTGCGTCACCAGATTGATTGGGCCTGGATCGACTCGTGCTGCATCGACAAGACTTCGTCCGCCGAGCTGTCTGAAGCCATCAACTCCATGTACTCGTACTATCTCCTGGCCCGGGTCTGTTTCGTTTACCTCTGCGATGTCCCTCCGCCTTCTGCCTCTCCGCCCATGGGCAACATGCCCTCCCTTGCAAGATCCCGTTGGTTCACCCGCGGCTGGACCCTTCAAGAGCTTATTGCTCCTCGCCGAGCCATCTTCTACGCCTCGGACTGGTCGCGCATCGGAACCAAAGGCCTGCACCGCGGCGAGCAGCCATTCATCGCAGCAATCGCAGCCATCACGGGCGTTTTCGAGTCGGTCCTCTCCAAGACACGATCACCCCGTGACTATTCCATCGCAGAGCGCATGTCCTGGGCCGCTGCCCGCCAGACTACCCGCCCAGAAGACCTAGCCTACTGCGTCATGGGGCTATTCGGTGTGAACATCCCCGTCTTGTACGGCGAGGGCCTGACACATGCCTTTCAGCGCTTGCAGCACGAGATCATTCGTACTTCTCCCGACGAAACCATCTTCGCGTGGCGCGTTGACCCGGCCCAGGAGTTTATGGACTCCCATACTGGCGAGCGACGACGGCGTGCCCTCAACTCTGGTCTTTTGGCCGACTCGCCTGCCGATTTCGCCCGCTCCCGCGATGTACATCAGCGGGCCCTGCACAGAGGCTCCCCGTTCCGGCTCTTCAGCATGACCAACATGGGAATCTCCATCACCGCGGAACTGATCACGTTGGCCGCGCCCGGCAGCCCGCGCGCTAGCCCGCGAACTAGTCCCTCGCCGGGTAGACCTAGTCCGTCACCATCCGTCCAGCCGCCGGAGTCAAATCTCGTAATTCTCCCGATTGGGGCAAGCGACCGGCCGACAGACACCGGGCCACGGGCTCGAGTGGGGCTCTATCTCGAGCCTGTCCTGCCGGCACCGGCATTGCCGTCGGGGGCGGCGCCGTCTGCGTATTCTCAAGTGTTCTACCGCCGCGTCCGATGTGACGACTTTTGCTTCGCGCCACAGCCTATTGGCGACTTCCCCCGTGGCCATGAACAGGAAATTTTCATACTAGAAGACGAGCAATTCGCCGAGATGCGGTGGGCAGACAGGCCTTCTTCAGCTGGCGGGGGGTCACCATCCATCGGCGGGAGATTGTCCTTGTCTCCTAGTGCGTCGCCGAGGGCATCGCCAAGGTTGGGGACCATGGATTTGACCTGAAATAATGCATAGACTTGAATAGAGCCATGAATCAGCGCAAACGGGCACAGGGATGATGGGGTAGTGGACAGAAGTACACTAGAGGAAGTATCAGCAACAGAAATGCACATAGCATTAGTGTGGAAGTGTGGCACCAGTGCCTACAACCTGAGGTAGACGTAGACACGCAGAAAGAGAGGCACAGTCCAGCAGGGCAAGGGGAACTAAGACCATCTTTCCAGTAGTGCTGCACGATTGAAAATAGATACCCATTCCATTAGTTTTGAATTCGACGCTCTACACATACTTTTGCAAGACAAGATTGCCCGGAAAGGCTCCACGCCTTACGCCCCCCAACCAACCACTGTAGTCGGTAAGCTTCATTACTAGGTAGACGGGCATCACCCTTCACACGCTGTTAAGACACTTCAGTGAGCTTCACGTCTTTGCTTTCGCAGTGCAGCAAGAGTACGTTTGAATCCTTTTCATTCAACCAGCACACGTAAAGTGTGCCTCCTACTCCAGAACATGAGACTAGGCTCCCCTTGAAGGGTGAGTTACTCGGGTATCTCATCCAGGAAGCCCTCCTGTACTACATACACATACATATCCCAAGGTGCATGTCATAATGCCCTGTTTTGTTCTCCCAAAAAAGCCCCCTTCCTGATTTTCCTTCCAGTCTAATCTTTTCGGCACACGCATGCCACCCTTTTTTTTTCGTAAGTGTTCCACCGTCCTTTGCCGTAAAAGACCAGAAGGGGTGGGTTGGATATCCCGAACGACAGGTGGTGCGTGCTGTGCTGCCGCCAGAAAGGGGACGGACCATCGCGCGTCCCTTTCGAATGTAATAAAAAAACAACAAATCTCAAATGTCTCAAATCCACCCCCCTGCTCGCCTGTGAGAAGGAAGGGAAGATGGGAGACGTGGTATCAAACGGTATATGCCAAGAACACGAAACGAAGAAAGCATACCGCACGTCGCTTAGTATGCACCGGGGAAGTAGGAAGGCGGGTCGTAAGGTCGTATCATACACATCAGGTGAATCAAAGAAGCCCAATGGCTGCTGCCGATTGCCGAGATGAAGACGAGAGGTACGGGTGAGATGCCATGAGCAGTCCAGAAGATTTTCGAGGTCGATAAGCCAGCCAGCACGTCGAGATTCAGGGTTTTGTTGTTTTCCAAGTGTTTTTGTGGTTTTTGTCGTCAGTGATAAGGAAATAGTTAGGAGAGTTGAATGAGTGAATATGGTCGGTGCGACAGTTAAGGAAAGGTTAATGAGCGTCGGGTGTCGAATCTGTTTTGTCGACGTGGATAGAGATATAAGGAAATGTTGAAAGATCGTCGTCGCGCTGGTGCTGGGCTGGCAATATCTTCCCCTGTCATCATCTGTGTTAGCTGCTCGTTTAGTAAACGGCATCACTGGTCCTCCTCTGGTCAACGCTCGCGCGGGGCGAGACCTCGAGCATCTTTGCGCTCCCCGAGCTCACATGCCTGGCGAGGCCCCTGCTGAGGCTCACGCTCGTGGCGCGTTGGAGCTGGGGCGTCTCGCCCTCGGAGTTCTCGGCCGACGTGACGGGGCTGTCGACATCCTCAAACGTCTTGAGCAGGCCCTCGCGGCTCTTGATCCGTTGGTGCTGATACGGCACGACCGCCGTCGCCCGCTGCCTCTCGACAGACCCCCACTTCATGTCCGCCTCGTCCATCATCGTCACCTCCTCCTCGTCGCTGCTGGGGAACGCGTCGCCGGTGGACTTGCGCGGCGTGCGCTCGTCGTCGTCGGCGCCGAGCATCTCGCGGGACGGCGTGGCGAGGTTGGAGAGGTACTCGTCATCGGCGAGCTCCTCCTCGGTGTCGTTGGCCGAGGGCGAGTGGCTGCGGTTCTGGGGCTGGAAGCGCTGGATGCTGGCGGCGCGCATGCCTGACGCCCTGCGGTTTCCGATGCGGCCGGAGAGCCACGAGGCCTCGGAGTCAATGGACGCCAGGGAGACGGACTGCGGCTGCTCGGGCGAGGGCTGGATGCTGTGTCGCAGCGAGGTCGGTGTCTGCCTCATCTTCTCGAGCTTCTCCATCTTTTCGTCGACGCGGCGAAGATCAGATGTGGGAGTGTCGTGCCTGACGACGGCGGGGGATTCATCGTCGTCAAGAGTGTTTTCTGCGGTCCTGGCCTCCGAGACAATGGGCAGAGGAGGCTCGTCCACTTCCGGCGACCCCACGCGCGAGTCCGGAGGGCTGAGGGGGAGCTCGGGCAGGTCTTCCCTGAAGCGCGAGCGGGTGCGCTTGGGAACGCCGGAGCTGACCTTGCGAGGAATGTAGTTGATCGGTGGCGGCACCACTTGCATTGGCGCTTGCGGCTCCTCTGTCGGTGGCGTTTGTGTCTGAGTCTGCGACTGAAGCTGGGCTTGGGCCTGGGCCGCGGCGGCTTGCATCTCCTCACGCGACGTGTTGGAGAACGATGACGGTCCAGAGTTTCTTCTCTTTCTCTTACCCCAGCGGAAAAGGGCTGAGAGTGACAGACGGGCCCGGAGGATTGACTCGGACGCCTTGCGGGGGATGGTCTCGTCTTGTCTTGACGACAGCGGCGACACGGCGTGCTCTTCTTCCGGCGACCTTGACCTTGACTTTGACTTCTTCGAACGAAGCAGGCTGCGTCTCAGTCTGATGCTTCCCATGGGCGCCAGCTTCGTGCTAGGCTTGCGTTCGGGAACGGGCTGCTGCGGCTCGGGGGACGGCGCCGACAAGGGAACATCGGGCTGGATGCTCGACGGTCGGTGGAGGTCATGGTCGATGTCCATCGGTTCCGGTTGGGGTAGCGCCTGTTCTTCTTCTGTTGAATGCCTGGCCGGTCGATATGATGAGCTGGATGCCCGTCGCCTGTGCTTGGAGGACGTCACCACAGCAGAGGTCGCTGTGTCCTCCCCGATGCCCAAGCCCACCATCTCCCGGCCCAAAACACCTCTCTCCATGTTCACGGGTGGGGGAGAGCCGCTGTGCCGTGCCTCAGCTTCGGCCTCGCGCTGCTTCTCCGCCCTCCTTGCTAACCTCCTCTCGACTCTTTCCTGGTCTCGTTGACGCCTTCGTTCCCTCCTCCTCGTGTCTCTTTCCATCAGTTCTCGCAGGTCGGCGGCGTCGAGGTCGTCGGCGAAACTGTTCACTCTCTTGTGTGCCCTCACCACTGACTCGGGCACTCTCTCGGAAACCTTTCTCTTCTGTTGTTGGTGTTGCTGTTGTTGGTGGCGTGAATGCCCTGAGCTGCTTTGCCCAGGGCCCCATCGTGGGTATACGGTGTGTCGTAATGTCGGTCGGGGTGCCAGCATTTCGAGGGCCGACACCCGGAACGAGTGCATCTCGGAGTCGGACGACATGCTGGAGTGAATCGATATCGGCAATGAGACGTCGGAGGCCCTGTTCTCGAGAGGGCTTCTGCTCCTGCTGCGGAAGCCGAGGCCCCCCGTCGTCTTGACTCTCTTGCTTTGTTTCCTCATCGGCCGACCGGATGTCCAGTCGTCGGCCGCTGGCCGTACCGGCGCGAAGTTGGTCATGGCCTTGATCTCGGCCTCGCGATCCGTGTCTTCTCTCCTCCGCTTGCTGGACTTCCTGCGGGAGGAAGAGCCCTTCTTGGGTTGGCCGTGGCGTGCATTATGTAGGGTTGGCGCCCGCTGCCACGCGGGATCCCCTTTTTCTTCTCCGTCATTTCGGTCGGCTGGGAAGGGCCCTGTCAGCCGCCCAGGTACCGGTGGACCCGAGCCTTTTTGCCCCGCGACGCGGATGGAGTCGTTGCGACCGGGGGAGAAGCTGTAGGTACGGGTCCGTCGGGTCAGCTTCTTGGAGGAGGGGTGCTGCTGCTGCTGCTCTTGCTCGAGTCGCTGTTTCTTCTTCGGCTTTGCCGCCCTGTCTTGTTGCTGGACATAAGCATATTCGCTGCCGGTGGTGAGATTGTCTCGTGGAAGAGGCGCCTCCACGTCGGACAGGTTTGCGCCGCTTCGCGAGCGTTTGCGACCGCTCCTCCGGCGAAAGGGCCAGAGGGCCATTTTGCCCAATGCGTTGTCGCCCAACAGCAATCAATGGTAGGGGGGGGGGGTTACGTGTGTGTTAACGCGAAGTGCTGGGTTGTTCGTCGCAGGACCGGTTTCTGTATGAGTGCATGATCGGTGTTGATTACTCGAGATCGGGGGACATGTGCTGCGTGTTGGACGGGCGGTCTCGTTTAGATCTCAATGCTGCCGTGCCGGGAGGTCCTTTTGCCTCTTGTTGGTGGTGTATGTCTGGTATTGTCTCTCTTCCAAACTTGGCTCTGCCAGAGGCTTGGTAGGTACTGCACTGTACTGCGTACTGCTGCGTAGTAGTCGCCACCAGTTTCGCAATGGGCTCGGGCAAAACGAAGGTAAGGCTGCGTAGGACCCGAGCGAGAGGAATACGGGAAGCTTGCCTGCTTAAAGAAGGCGCCAGGGTTGTGCAGCAGTTAATATGGGTTTGGGTGCAGAGGTGTTCCGGACCGTATGCGCGTGTGTAAAGCGAGTGGAGGAAAGGCGAGGGAAAGGTTACGGGATGCAACAAGGAAGCAGCAACCTAACGGTACATGAAGAGGGGAGAAAAGAGGGACGGGACAGACAAAGTCATATGCTATGCAAAGTGGCAAAGGACATTGGCTGACGGTGAGAGAGATGGCATACGTAGATGATGGAATGGTGGATGATGGGGAGGGGGCCCAGAAAGAATCGCTTCAATCAGGCTTACAGACAAGAAGAGCCAGAAGGGGGCCAGCAGACCTTTTCCTTCTTTTCCTTGGTGCTGGACATGCAAGCTGCTGGACTGGTCTGGATAGGTAGACTGACTTCAGACCAACTACGTAGGTGCTGTATGCCATCCGTCTCTCTACTTTTCACTACGCATGTACATGCACTCTGGTCAGGAGCAAGAAGGTGTACATAAACTCAGCACTTGCAGACGGGCATTGGGACGACGACAGCTTGTTTCTTGGCTGGCGCACTTTGGCTTGCTGCCGGTGCATTTGCTTGGTGCTGGTGCTGGTCCGGTACTTTGCAGTACGTACTTCATAGTTGTAGTGGTCTCCGCAAGGTACAATCGACCTTACCCTTACAGTGCTGACCAAATAGGAACAGGTCTGCTCGACTGGGTGGCAGGGCAAGGGAGAGTGAGCCGGGGACCTTTGGAACCAGACCAGGAAAAGACGGTTGGCCAGGGCTGGTTGGGTTTGGGTTGCGAAGGGCCAAGGGTCAGCCAAGGGCCAGGGGGTGTGTACATGGACATGGGACATGGTCGTGGTGTGGTCCGCCGCCGGGGGTGTGTTTCTCTCTTCGTTTCTCCTTCTCCTGGTCAGTGGTCCCTCCTCTGCTGTTCAGATGGAGACAGAAATGGGGTCCTTAACGGGGTGAAGATGTGCCATGTGCCTCAGAAAGCTGTGCGTGACTCCGCAATGCGCTGGCCGTAGGTGGTGTTGTATGTCGTTGTGCTGCGCATCGCATCGATAGCTCCGATCAATCTGAGAGCAGAGCAGAGCACACACAGATGGCTGCTCATGGAAGAATTGGCTAGGGGATGCCGTGCTTGCTGCGGCGATAGTATTATGCAGTATGGTCTTGTTCCTAGAACATGTGTGTGTGTGTGTGTGTGCCCCCTGTGCCGCCGCCGCCAGAAGGAGAGGGAGCCCGAGGGATGGCTAGCAGACTCCGGCCGGCAGGGGGAATGTCGATGTCGTCGATTGGACATGGGACTGGGCTTGATCGCCGCAAATATTTTCTCCTTCAGTGTCAATGGGGTGGAACCGACCTCCTCCCCGGCGCACCACCCGCTGCTCATTGCCCTGGTCTGCCCTGGTCTGGACTCGAGAGCAGGAGAGTGAATGAGGGAGCAAGACTGACGAGCAGCAGGAAACTGAGGACGAGTGATACGATGCGATGCGGATTTTGCCATGCGCTGATGCGAGGTGGTTCCTGGCCTGTCTTGACTGATTGATGCCCGGAGCGGATCGTAGGGGGGAAACGGACGGCGGCCGGCTGTTGAATGTCTCTCCTCTCGTTGCTGTGTTTGGTCCGCCGCTGCTTTGCTCCAGCCCGTCCCGCCGCCCTGGCTTCTTGACGTCCCAGTGTCTCAGCGGCTTTCTCATAATGCCTCCCGGTGTCTTGCCACCACTCTCTTCTCGCCATGTCTTGTCTCGTCCTTGTCTGCCGCTGGACCATTGCTGTTATCTGTCATTCCACCCATCTTTACTGATGACCAGCCGTTGATAGCGACGCAATGTACATGTTGCTTGATACTTCAAGCAGCTAGGTACTGGACCCTCCCTGCACAAGACAGAGCTACCAGTCAAAACTATTCGGCTTTTCCAACGGTCGTGTCCTAGGGGTCTACCCTGGAAGTACCCGTGCCGCCGGGCGCTGTGCTTCCAGGGCAGAAAAGGCAACGAAAAGTACGTGTAGGTGCCAGAAAGGCAAAAAGGAAGGGATGTGGGAGGGGTTAAGGCAAGGTACCCGTACCTTGCGGCATCGTATCCGCGGCTCTCGTCCCGTCTCCAACTCGTACAGCGCAACCCAGGTTCTGGGCACGTTTTGCTCTGAACAGTGAGTGCTGCAGTACATCTATATGCTTCACCAGGTCCACTGTTGGCTGCGATACAGTTCAATAGGAAGCTGCGGAAAACAGGAACAGGAATGGGGACAGGAACAGCAGCAGACGGGTGGGTGCGATGCTGAGCTTTGAGTCTCGTCATTGGCCTGCTTCTCTGCTGCTGCGCAACTCCGTAGCGATGCAGACGACTGCAGCCGCCAGCATTTCTTGCCGAGGCGGTCTACGAGTCTGCCGGCCAGATGTTCCCTGAATCTGAGCTGTCTGGCTGAATCCGAGTCTGGGTCCTCAACGGATATCATTCCAAAGTTGAGAGGAATGCCGTTGTCCCTGAGTCATAAACATTCCTCTCGTGGGAGAGGGATGGGAATTCCGAGAGGCGAAGTTCGCCGTCCGACTCAGGCATTCCCAGCCTCCATCAAAGATATTGTCGTCAATAGACGACGCATCGACTCGATTGACTCTTGATTAATAAAGCGCCTCCTTTTGGGCTCCTTTTGGGGTAAACCTCCATAGTGCTCCCATAGTGTTATTCCTTGCTGTGCCACATATTGGACCCCGAAAACCCCCAAGAATATCCAGATGCGCCGGCTCAAGTCCAATCGCGACCCACTCGCCCGCTAGACGAGGAAGATAATCGGATATTCCCTGGTTCTGTAGCACTGAACCAAACAATTATTGTCGCTGGGCGTGACGAACCATAGAACATACGGAGAAACAAACCCATCGGCTGCAACTCTTTGCCGCATAAGCGATAGCGACTGCCTAGGGCTTCAAACGAGAGAGTATCCACGCTTTGCCCGGCACGTCTGTCCGGCTACTACGGCGTTCTAGCTGGGAAGGGCACACTGACTGATACAATATGGCGTCTTTTGGCCTCTGGTTTTCAGCTTGCCTCTTCGCCTCTTGATCCTGATGACGAGGCAACAGCGTCAAGTTGTCGTTTACCTGTTGCCCAACGAAGGTTGACGAAAGCTCGGTGGTGGCTCGTGTGCTCCTCCGCCAACTTTACTGTCGAACCCCCAGCTTTCATCTCGTCGCGCCGCCTCGTCTGCCCACCGGGCTCAACTCACAGACGGTTGCACAGGACGAGGCGTGCGCTTGGCTCCAGCTCTAAGAGCCCCTAAGGCGGGTTGTCGGTGACGCTGACAATCGGTTTGGCACCAGCCAAGTACCGGCTGTCCCGCCGTCAGTTTGTAGGGTTGGGATCGACTGGGGCAGAGTCGAGGAGCCCAGGCAGATGGCAGAGCTAGCGCTCGCTGTCGCTGTCTGTCCCTCCAGTCGAGAGACCCAGATGGGAGGAGTACTCAAGCTCATCCCCTCACGGCCCCATTCCTCCAGCATCTAGGCACTGACGCCAGCCAACTGACAAAGCATACCAAGACGACGGCTCTTGACCGAAACTGCTTAGCTGTTGAGGGGGCACACCATCTGACCTCTCTAGCCCCAAGAATGGCGTCCCTCAATTGCCTCCGCCTGCCGCGTTGCCAGAGATCCCGCTGCTTCGTTGTTCCTGCTGGCCACACGAGGTTTCTATTCCGGGCGGTTGCCATCCATCCTTATCTCTCGCCATGCGCCGCCGTACTGTGCTGCTCCAGTGCTCAAGACAGGGGCGAAGAAACAGCTCAGCGACCCGGCTGCATGCGCAACGAAGTCAAGTCTGTCTGTCCAGCAGGGAAGCCCTGTTGCACCAGTGTGCGTGGCCTGAAGGGATTGTACTTGTAAAAATCCTGAAGCGTCCAACGTGCTGTTTGCCAGGCACAGGGTCAAGCGCCGTTGGGTAGCAGGGATCATCGTCTTCTTCCACAAGTACCGTTACCTCAACAGCCGGACACGAGTACCTAGATGTCCTCGTGGCCATTAGCTTCCGGGGCTGTATCGGGCACAACTCAAAAATGGTCAGGCAACGAACCTCTACAACCACTGACCAGTCTGTGAACGATCTTGGCCAGTCCAGGTGGGAACCTGCAGGTCGCTTTGGTGGAATACCCTCAATTTTCCTTCGTATTCGTCCGCGAAGCCCTGAACAGGCGGTTCAGAGCATGCTGGAACCCGTATTGCTGCAAGCCGTCCACGGCCTCGGGGCCCGGTACTCGCCGGCATCGAACAAGACAAGGGCGTCCAAGGCCTGGATTCATTGCCCCATCACGCAAAATTTCTGACTTCTCACTTCTCCCCGCCCTGATGCGATGAGATCGGAGTTTTCTTATGGACGGATAGCCGTACCGTCGCCCCATTGCTGTGTATGTGGTCATAGCATGGCGAACTGCGACGCTGAGACTTCGTCTCCGTCCTGCTGCATCGCATTTCCTTGCTGTTTGTTATCCTCTTATCAAGTCAGGCCCACGAGCCTCCTTCCTCTTCTCTCTCGCTCTCAAGTCACTGTGCCTGAGACGTCCCTCAGGTATCCGAAGGCTCCTGCTTCGCGGCGATGCGACAGAAGGTT